GAAGGGGTCTTGTTTCCCAAATGACTCAATTTACGACGGGCTCTCTAACCAGTATGCATACCTAAATAATGTATATTAGAGCTGATTTCCTCTTTTTCTGTTTATACAATATACAGTATACTACGAATAAACTTTTAAAAAATATACTAAAAAATTATTAATGGTGCAAAGGTGACATTAAAACAATATCAAAGATGGTTGACACAAACCCACTACCTTTATAGTATATTCCTCACTTAGCAACGAATTCATTTACCAGCGTGGTTTTTGGAATGGAACTCCGTTGTTAAGTGAGGAGAGGCTTTTATATTAAATCAAATTTTCTCTGATTTTGAAATTAGCACTCCCAATTCTGCAACACTTTACAGTAGAGTCAACAAATTTGTTAGTATTAATTTCCCAGAGATTTCACAAGAAGAGTAAGGGCTAAATTCTGTTAGTATTTTTAAATACAGCATTACAGTATTTTAGATAAGGGTACAATTTTTTGTTTCAGAAAGCATATTTCAAAATATTGCTCCAATCTGGTTAATTTTGGCATTCATGAGTGAATGTTCAGAAAGGCAAGAGAATCGTTCATTGAAAATCCATCAAGCCCATTTGGAAATAAATTTTATGACTAGTTTTCTATTTAAGTAACATGGGCCCAGGAATATGAGAAGGGGTACATAAAATGCCAAGAAACAATGGAATGGGCCTCAGTAGAAAGCTCATGTTTAAATCAAAGCTAAAATATGGGAAGATCTTCAGTGAAAATATTGCGTAACTGAAGTTGTGTATTAGGAATGTCTCTAATGTAGTGTTCAGCTGTACTTGCTCGACTGTCTGACGTGTTCATTGCTTTGAACATTTCTCCTTGCTTCTATCTGTGACGTTTCCCTATTTATGAGTTTACAAAAATCTTCTGTTAAACTGTTTTTTTTATATCTGTTTTTAAAATAATTACGAGAGACCAGCTACCTTACTGATGAGGACACTCTGAGCTCGGAGGAGGACCACCTTTATCCGTGCCTGCCGGTGCCTGTCCCCTGGTACTGGACGGGCCACCTGCACTTGCCCCCACACTGCCTCACTGCCAGCTCCACTGCTGACACTTGCCCAGGGACTTGACCTCCTACAAAAGCAGGAACACAAGGTACAGTAAAATTTGCTATATGAATCTTGTCTAGTGCTGAAACTGATGAAATTAAAAGGTGCTCCTCGAGTTACAATTGGTTACATTCCGATAAACCCCATCGTAAGTTGAAATAATTGTAAGTCAAATATGAATAAAAAGGGTAAGTAAATAAATAAATACTTTACGAATAAATAAATTACAAATACACTGTAAATAAACTTAAAATACCAGTATTGAAAAGTAAATAAATGAATACAAGTACAGACTTGCTGCCTTTATGCTGGGTAAATTATCTTAAGTTTTCTCTGCAAAAGGAACTGCTTTTGAAACCATCATTAAATTTTGCACCACTGTAAGTCGAGGAGCACCTGTATTTTTTAAAATACATATTGCGAATTTTTGAAATCGGCAATTTTTTTTTTTAAAATCAAAATATTGGCTTGATTTTTATGATTTGGCTTAGAAATCATTAGTCGTATGAAATGCCTCCCGATAATGGACATTTGCTCCTGCTCATCCTCCAGACTTGGAAGAGCAAAATGGTGAAGGAGTTTTAATTTCCTTCCACAAGGAAGTTCTTGCCCTCAAAATACCACTCCTCCCTCCCACCCCCCATGAGACCAGCAGATTCATTTCAAACTTCAAAAAAACTCTACACCAAAGCATTTTTCAAAGGTGCTTTAAACCCTTTCAGGGTCCAGAGGCCAAATTTAAAAAAGGGGTGCACCAGTGTCCAAGAATTTTCCAAAAAAATATTTTTTTTTTTTTAAATGAAAGGGTTTAGAGAATCTTTT